TAAAAATAAAATTTTAAAGAAAGGTGGAGGGCCATGTGTTTTACCGTCTTTGATTCCTTCTTTGATGGTCAAACTTGTAGGGAGGTGTTTTTCGAAGCCTTCGAGATGAATCTCTCTCTATCTCTCTCTCTCTCTGTCTCTCTCTTCCTTTCTGCACCATCTTCCTGGTTCACCCCTTTAATTATTTATTCATTCTCTCTCTCTCTCTCTCTCCTTAATTTGTTACTCTCTGTACCCTAACCTTAATTCAAATTTTGAAATAGCATACGTATACATATATACACGTACGTGTACATACATATAAGCGCACATATGTTTTCCTATATACTACGTATATCTAAGAAAATACCCTTCTACAATCAATTAATATTAGTACGTGTATTACTATTGGGGAGATATATATATATATATAGGTACGTACTTGCAGTATGAAAAAAAATGATAATATGGAGTTCAGTGGAATATATAAATTAATAAAGAGAGATAAGGCAGGGAGGCAGAGTTTTTCTTTTTTGTTGACAAAAAACACTGAAAGTGAAGGGAAGTGTATATATATTTGAGAGAAATGGATTTGAAAGCTTGAGTGACTAGATATAATAGTGTAGGAATGTGAGTTAGATTTTATAGCAATCGATCTGTCCCTATCAAAAATGACTAAATTGTTGATAGAGAATGAAGTTATAATCAAACTCACCAAAGCCCCACCCGGAAGACAAGGGTTAATGTCCTCGCATGGGGGTGCAGGCTGCAAGCCTCTCTCTCATATATACAATATCTCTGCTAGCTAGCTGCATGCCATGTACTCATGTATCATATAATATTATATGTTTTTCGTTGTTTTTCTTTCACTGTATACATGCTCATATATAATACTTATATAATTAACTAAGACTACTTTAGGATTCCATCCCCTCTGCCTCTGCCTAACTTTGTCTAATTTTCTGCAGTAAGCAAATTAACAGTGTTCTTTTTATTACAAGTGTGTCAGTCATATTCATATCTGCATACATGATATAAGTATATGTGGCGAGATAGTAGCTAAAGGTAGACAGACAGACAGATCGAGAGACCCCGTTTGTAGCGGGGGAGCAGATTAATTATTAGATCATTTCTAAAGTAAATGTTAAATTTTAAACATAAAATTTAAATTTTGACAACTTATGTGGCATTTTGATATATTTTAAAATTTTGTTCTCAAACTGATATGTCAAATTAAATTATTATTTTATAAAATAAATTATTAAAAGAATTAAAATTTAATAAAGAATATTTAAAGTTTAATCAGTAGTCTGTTCACCTTTCTTGATTGAAGAAAAGAAAAAAGTTGGATAATTGCATCGGTCTACTCAACATTAATTATAATAAATGATTAAACTAATTAAAATTTAATAAAATACGTTTAATAATTAATAAAAAAACATTTGAAGCTGCTGTCAAATTTGACAGCAACCTCTTTTGCTGACAATCCATGTCATCGTCACATAAGATTTTATATTTCAATTGGAGAATATTAATGGGATCTTTTTTTTATTGTTATAATTAATGTGTATATTTTGCCATCTCTTTTTAAAATGTTCTTAGAACGAGGGCATAATATATAGTTAAATAATGTGATATGGATGAATGGAATGTGAAAAAGTTATGGGTGTATTTGTTTGTAGGCGGCAGAGAGAAACCAGAAGAAGAGAGAGAGAGAGAAAGCAGATGTGCTGCAGGCATAGGCAGAGGTAGAGGCAGGGCAATGCAATGCAAATTGCAGTGAAATGAAACGAAAAGGGAGAGAGAATAGCTGGCTGGTGGTGAAAGGAGGAGGTCGAATCCTGATTGAGAGTGATCTGATTTAATTTCCATAATATTATATCTGACAAAAATGCATGATGAAATGACACATGTCTAAGTGGGCATGAATAAATGGGCGTCGAAGGGGGCTGCCGGCTGCGTCTGCGTTTGAGTTTTTTGTCACACTTCGACGTCAGTCATCAGAAAGCAACTTAATTGAGATAAGAAAGATTATTAACCAAATACATTTAACATATGAATTTTTTTTAATGTTGCGTAATACAACAAATAAATGATTAAAATGGAAAATAAGAATTTTTTTCGTATCTTACTAAAGTACTCTAATATTAAAGGATAGCGTTGAAGCTAGACTTATATTATATATTATAGTCGGGATTCTTTTTTCTTTGTTACAATGAATATTAATACTCTAATCTAGATTAAAAAAATATAAAAAAATTTGAACTTGAAATATAATGAGTTAAAGAAAACAAATCCTATAGGCCAAGGCAATCTATCACTTTCAAGAATCAACATAGATTTTATATTTCAAGTAATTCATGTCTAAGGACAAGGGGAAAAGGAAATTTGATCATGAACAGCTTGCAAGAAAGGAACAATATAATATGTACTGTATGTATGTGGTTACTTTAATTGTTTTAAGATTATGAAAGCACACACGGTCATAGTCTTACTTGTATATAAATTAACATATATATATATATGAGACCCATGCATGTGTTAGTCTCATAATCTCTTATAATTATAGTAACTTGATTTGAACCATCTTGTATCCAATATATAGAGGTATTCATCAATTTCCCTCCTGAACTTGTGACCATTGGCCAATTTCCCCCCTCAACTTTAATTTTGGTCAATTTCCCTCCACAACTCTCATAATTAGTCAATTTCCCCCCTCAACTTTAATTTGGCCAATTTCCCCTCTCAACTCTCATAATTAGTCAATTTACACCTACTGTTAATTTTTTAAAATTTTCCATCTATTCTTTTTGTTTTCTTTCAATCTTTCTAATAACTTCCAACGAAGTACTAAAATTAACATAAACTCACCTGCATAATATAGGGTAAAATGTACAAAAACATAATACAATTAGTATGTGATATGGGTTGATTATAAGAAAAAGTTATGAATCGGATTTAAAGCATGTAGAAGAAGAAATAATAATCCTAAACTCATGGATCAGACCTATTTCAATAAAATGGGTTATTCTTAATAAGGAGTCGAAAATTATGAAGTGACTAGCCATTTTTGCACTAAAGCTCGATTCTCCGCAATTTACTTGAACTTAGCTTTCACTTTTATAAAGAAAATTGTATTCACATACAAAAATGTACACATCAATCCTTTTCGTTATCAATTTTGTATAGTAAAAAATCAAATAAAATTACTTTATACTGATTTATTATGACTAATAATACTATCTATGATAAATTGTAAAATTCTAAATTTTAATCTATTTGTAATAGGATAAAGACATAGGAAAATGATTAACATACATCTTATTTAGTTTCTTACACACACTTGTTTAATTATAATCAAATTAAAAAATTAACAGTAGGGTGCAAATTGACTAATTATGAGAGTTGAGGGGGGAAATTGGCCAAATTAAAGTTGAGGGGGGAAATTGACTAATTATGAAAGTTGAGGGGGGAAATTGGCCAATAGTCACAAGTTCAGGGGGAAAATTGATGAATACCTCAAATATATAATAGGCTACGCTTGTTAAATATACACACTACCATTTTTGGATATACGAACAGCTAAACGGTTAAATTAATATATACATTCATTTCTAAAGTAGTATACAATTGTAATGGTGTTCAATTTAAAATTCAATTCAATAATAATATTTTTTTCTTACCCTCGTACGTGTACCTTTTTATTAGTTTTGTTACTTCTCATTTTTCAGTCAAAACTTAGCAAGCAATTATTGATATATAGGTCCAATTATAAAAAATCTATAAATTAATATATTAACTCATTTAGTGATCTTGGCACCTGATTTTCATTTGTGTCTTAATAGCGATATAAGAATCACATTCATATAATAGGTCGAAAAATTTGAGTGTAATATTAATATATTAAATTTATGAGCGTGATATTAATATGTTGAATCACACTAGCTAGTGTAACAATAGTGTTACAGGTAAACTATAACACTACCGGTACACTAATGTGAGTTTAATAATTATTAGACTCATACTTTAGAACCTACTAATTTATAAGTATCACACTCTCATGAGTTCATTTTTTTAGTATCACACTAATTTTTTTTTTTTTTTGACGTACTGTAGGAGTGTGATTCCTATATAGGCTCAATTTATTGGTATCACACTCACTTTTTCCGTCATATTGTGGAAGATCTTAAACTTTTCATAGTAGTTTTTAGTATGTGTGATACCTATATATAAGGAATTAGGTATCAAACTCAGATTACTTAATTCCTAAATGTAAATATCACACTCATTCTAACTACGGTAGAATAAAGAAGATAAATATAAATGGACGCACAAGATGGAAAATCAACTAAGAAAACCTACCTACATTATATCAAACTACAATGATCCGAACTATTAGTCAAATAAGTTGCACCTCATAGATAATTCTTACAAAATATTAGTCAAATTAGAAATATTTGAGACATCTAATTGAATTCAAAGAAATTGACGAAACTTTCTATTAAAAACAATGAGATTTCATCGTGACAATTAAATAGGCAAATAGTTTTGGAGTGATTTGAATTTTTGCAAGGATGATCTATGATTGAGACTTAAAAAATAAACGGTTCAGGTGAGGGACGGAGCTACAAATTTCTTTTAGTGGGCCATCCCAAAAATTAACTAATAAAACCTTATTATAGTATGACTTATTCTCAATATGATAATAAGGATGCTTTCAAATGATGATGTATCACAATTCTATGTTACAAAAATTTCAGTATAGTAGTGGAAAGTGGAAAAATGATGAGAAAAATATTAATACATGATAGGTGGGAGATGAGTTTTTAGGTTTGAATGATAGAGTAAGAGCACTTTGTTTTTTTACTTAACAAACGAATTACTTGAGTAGGGGCATCTGTCCCCAGTGAGCCTTTATTGGCTCTGCCTATGCCGAGGCGGCCGTACGTGTGAAAGAGAGAAGTGGAAGGGAAAGAGAGCGTGTGTTAAAAATCTTGAAATATATAATTGCTTTGGAAGAAATGAGAGTCATTTCAATTAATTCTATGTCTGCAAAATTTTGACCTTTCCTCTTCTCCCTTTGAGTCCCAATAGAGATTATACCCACATACCGCCATGGAAATGGATACTCTCTCTTCTCGCTTTAAACAATAGTTGTTTCTCAACCAGTTGGCTACTTCATCTTCTTCTTCTTCATGCATGGAGTACTAGTTGTCTGATCATCTCTTTTCTTTAACTCAAACCATTAATCAATATATATATATATATATATATATAGCTACATAGAATAATTTTGAGATGGGTTCCATGAACTGGTTGGGTTTCTCTCTTTCCCCTCAAGAAGTAGTTCCGGCTGATCCAACGATATCTGAGGGTACTGATCATCGTCATCAGCAGCACGGCCAAGATCATCAGGACTTATCTGACCAGACACTAGTCTCTCGCCTCCGCTCTAAGTACTCGGATGAAATCTCCGGTACCGATGCCTCCGGAGACTGCTTTGATCTCACTAATTCTCATGACGACTCATCTGCTACTCCTACTGCTCCTAATCATCATTCTCTCAACCACCTCCCTACATCTTTTGGGATGCTTCATCAAGCTGCGTTCGACTCCCAAGGTTTATCCACTCTTAACAAAACCCTAATTACCACCCCCCCTCCATATAATATTATTATTAAAGACCTTTTCTGTTCTTTATTCTTTTTTGGATGAATGACTTTTTCTTTCATTTCTTTTTTCCTAGAGCTAGTTTTCACCATTATATAGTGTTGAATTAATTTGTAAATTTTAGTTAATTGTTAATTTGGTTTACCATATTTGTAGCAGGTGCAGATTGGAATATGAACTCACCGGATAGCACCAACTACAAGTTCACATCAGACCACCTCTCTATGCTTAACTCATGCAATACCCTAAACCTTGAAAACCATCAAAATCGTCATCAGCAGCAGCCAAAGCTCGAAAACTTCCTGGGCCGACACTCTTTCATTGCGGATCATCCAGATCATATCCAGAGTAGCACTAGTTCTGCGCATGCATACAATAGTAAAAACACCGCCAGTATTAATACTACCGACAACATCTTCACCAGAACCGTCTCTTCTTTGCAGCTTCCGTTAGAGATTTCCGATCCCACAAATGTCATCAACGGAGACGGTGCAGTCGGTAACATTAATATCAACAGCAGCACCTCGAATATTGGGCTTTCAATGATCAAGACATGGCTGAGGAATCAACCGGCATCCCAGCTGCAAGAGATGAACAAGAACGATGTCAATGGCATCGGTGTCTCCAACACAAGTACTAGTACTAGCAGTGCACAGACTCTTTCGCTTTCAATGAGTACTGCAGGTGCTACTACGGCCGGAGATCAAACCTGTTCGTCAGATCGAGATCGAGATAGTAATAAGCAGGCAATTATTAGGACCGCTGCCCCCGCAGCAACTATTCAGTCTGGGATCGATAACCAGACTAGTATTGCTACTGCTATTGAGGCCGTGCCCAGAAAGTCCATTGATACATTTGGACAGAGAACTTCTATATACCGTGGTGTAACCAGGTTTCTAATTTTTTTCTTATTTCATTCATTTACTCCTTTTAATTAATTTTTGGATTTTGGGGGTTCAATGCGTTAAATGAATAAGCTTCTACTCGTTTCAATCTATGCGTACATACAGGCACAGATGGACAGGTAGATATGAAGCTCATTTGTGGGATAATAGTTGCCGAAGAGAGGGACAAACTCGAAAGGGACGGCAAGGTACACAGTCCATTTTAATTTAATTGTTGGATCTTTTAGGGGAAAAAAAATGATTATTTCGTTTCAAGTTTATTTATTTATTTAATTTAAAGATACATCATGCATATCATGTTTTTCTTTAACTAATAGTGCTACTTTTCTTTTGTGCGTTTCTTGATCTGGGCCGCCTTTCCATCTCAATCCTCTTTAATTTGCAGTTTATCTGGGTACGTACAGTTTAAAGGTCTATGCCTTTCTTCGCATGGATTTTTCACCCTTCCGGATCTTCTTTTTCTTTTGATCGATCTGAATAATTAATTCAATCCTTAATCCATAGGTGGTTATGACAAGGAAGAAAAGGCCGCAAGAGCTTATGACCTAGCAGCATTGAAATATTGGGGTACTACAACCACTACCAACTTCCCGGTGAGTTACAAAACGTAATAAAAAAATTAAATAAAGAATATGTGTGTCGATTGATCATGTTGCCTATTTTGTTTGCGCAACAAAATCTGCTCAATGTCGGCCATTGGTATTGATATGCGCTCTTAGGTTAGCTTGGAAACTGGGGAAAGTGTTTCGACTACATTTTAAAAAAAAAGTTGTATATACACTCCCAACTGATATTAATTTTTTTTACGGAAGTTAATCCCAGAAAATTAAGTATCATTAATTATATATTGTTCGCCGTTGTGAAATTATAGATGCATGCATGTCTTTCATTAATTATTATCTGATAATCATGATGCATGGACAACCTTTATGTTTTCTAATATAATTTGAACTAATGCCAGATTAGCAACTATGAGAAAGAGGTAGACGAAATGAAGCACATGACAAGACAGGAATATGTTGCATCTTTGCGAAGGTACGTAGATATATGAAATTGACGATTTAATTATATGTACTCAATCAGGGACGGAGCTACAAATTTCTTTTAGTGGGGCATCCCGAAAATCAACTAAGAAAACCTACCTACACTACATCAAAATTCAATGATCCGAACTATTTATTTTTTAAGTTGTACCTCATAGATCATTCTTACAAAATATTAGTCAAATTAGAAATATTTGAGACATCAAATTGAATTCAAATAAATTGACGAACATTTTTTATTAAAAACAATGAGATTTCATAGTGACAATTAAATAGGAAAATAGTTTTGAATGAATTTGAATTTTTGCAAGGATGATCTATGATCGAGACTTAAAAAATAGACGGTTCAGGTGAGGGACGGAGCTACAAATTTCGTCTAGTGGGGCATCTCAAAAATTAACTAAGAAAACTTTATTATAGTATGGCTTATACTCAATATGATAATAAGGATTCTTTCAAATGATGATGTATCACAATTCCATGTTACAAAAATTTCAGTATGGTAGTGGAAAGTGGAAAAGTGATGAGAAAAATATTAAGACATGATAGGCGGAGGAGGAGTTTTTAAGTTTGAATGACAGAGTAAGAGCACTTTTGCTCATATAATATTTGATATAGAGTATAAGTAGTATGAATGTATGTTGGATATTAGATACATATATTTTATTTAAAGATAACACGTGTATATTATATAACTCTAGTCTGCAACTTAACAAACGAATTACTTAAGTGGGGGCATCTGCCCCAGTGAGCCTTCATTGGCTCTGCCCATGTACTCAATGAATTTTTTTGTTGCAGGAAGAGTAGTGGGTTTTCTCGTGGTGCATCCATTTATCGAGGAGTGACAAGGTAATGCAACATAGAATGCATGTGATGTAATTAAATGTGTTATTGATTTGAAAGTGCATGGAGGCCCCAAGTTTGAGCCGCATTCAGTCATCAAATTATATATTGGTATTTATATGCATGTAACAAGTATGCCTTATAATTACTTATATATAGTTTGTTTATGTAATTAATTTGGTTGCATGTTCAACAGGCACCACCAGCATGGGAGATGGCAAGCAAGGATTGGAAGAGTAGCAGGGAACAAAGATCTCTACCTGGGAACATTCAGTAAGTTTAATTTCTTTTTCCTGCAATATTAATTTTAATTTGACCTTGTAATTAAGTAAGGTACTGATGATAATTAGCTTTTTACTTCATAATTTCCTAATGAATTTCCATTTATATATTCAGGTACCCAGGAGGAAGCAGCAGAGGCATATGACATCGCAGCCATAAAATTCCGGGGACTTAATGCAGTAACTAACTTTGACATGACTAGATACGACGTGAAGTCCATTCTGGAGAGCAGCACATTGCCCATTGGTGGTGCTGCGAAGCGACTGAAAGACGTTGAGCAGGCACATCACCAGCATCTGCACGAGATGACTCTACTGGCCGACGGACACAACAGATCAACGATGGATGATCAACGCGAAAAGCTGATGATGATGAATACTAGTAGTAATAGTCTCGATCAATATCATCAGCAACTGATAAATGGAGATCATCATGGAATGAGAATAAATAACGTCTATGGTACTGGAGCAGGCTGGCCAACTCTTGCATTTAACCAAGCCGCTACCGCTGTTGCCCATCAGGCCGCAGTGCCGCCCTTTGGGATGCATTATTACTCATCAGTGCCATATAATTCTAATGGCGGGCAGAGGGTTTGGTGCAAGCAAGAGCAAGACACTAATTCTCAAAGCTTTTATCAGCCACAAGATCATCATCGTCAAGATCTTCATCATCATCAACTACTTCAGTTGGGAAGTACTCACAATTTCTTTCAGCCAGTCAACCTCATGGGAAATAGTACTACGGATTCTATGGAACATAGCTCAGGTTCTAATTCTGTCATATATAATGGTACTACTGCCGGAGATCACGGTGGCTATATAATCCCTATGGGGACGGCTATAGCTAATGATCATGAGAATAATAGTAATGCTTTTGGAAATGGCAGTTCCGATCATGATCAGGTGAAGCCGGCGCTAGGTTATGAAAATGCGTTTGGCTCAAGTAGTACTACTACCACTGTGGATGCTTATAATCATGCAAAGAGCTTGTATTATCTTCCGGTTCAGGCGCCACAGTCATCATCAGTTTCTTCAATAGGTGTGTCGACGAAGGGAAGCAGCGAGTATGACAATTGGGTGCCAACAGCAGTTCCAACATCTACTCACAATATGGCTCCTTTCACAGTCTGGAATGACACATAAATTAATGTGCGTACGTTTCAAATGGGTGGACAGATGGAGGACGTGTTACTGGTCTGGTATTAGGATAGGGTGGATTAAGAAAAGGTGTATACATTTGGAACTAATTTCCTAATTTTGATTTTTCATTCTGCATCTGTGCTAATTACTGGATGATGATCACCTAGCTAGCTAGTTAGGGAAGATAGGCATTTTTATAATTTGGTGTTTTGTTACTAACTTAATTTGCAGTAGGCGTACTGTATGCAAATTTGCAAGGGTCTATCTGAAGTTCAGAAATAGCATCTGAGATCTCTACTTTTCTCATTTGCTATGCATTTTGGGAACTTGAGAATATTCTAATGGATCCTCGGAAAGATTTATATATTAACAAGAATCTAGATTTGTAGTTTTGCATAACTATGTATTTCATATATTTGATGCAAAGATCGATGGAGTTTTAACACTTCTAGTAGTGTATCCTACAAGTTAATCTCTACGTGTACATGACCAAAATAATTGAATGAAGTGCATTTATACAATAATACACATCAGTTAAATTAGTTGGGAAGTGTTGTTCATGTAGGGTTTAGGGTACGAAATCATCGAAATATACACAATGTGGAATGTGGATTATTTTCACCTTGGCCGGTTTTTTGGATAACAATTATAATTTTTCCTTCGAAATATACATGCTGTGAAAGTTTTTTTTTGTTGTTGGACTGTGAAACTAAACAAATATAAATAAGATCAAGGATGAACTTACGGTTAATAACATAAATAAACTGTAAAGAGATTTCGACGAAAACACATTTCCTTATCTATTCATCCAACCATGCACACTTTTGTAGTTAGTAGTTCCACAAGGGTGCGTTTGGTACGCAGACGGGACAGAACGGGATGGGACGAGACGGGACGGAACGGGACGAGACGGGACGGAACGGGACGGGACGGGACGGAACGAAAGTGTAATTTTTGAAAAAGACATGGGGTATATTTGTCTTAAAATGGTAAAACATTGTGTTCCACAGACGTGGAACAAACCCATTCCGGGGGGGGGAGGCGGGACGCAAAAACACCCAAAATCTGTCCCGTGGAACAGCCCGTTCCACCCATTTTTGACGCACCAAACGCGGAACGGAACGCCTCGTCCCGTTCCGTTCCGTCCCGTCCACGTACCAAACGCACCCCAAATGAACTAACGAAGATGGAACAAGAGTGGAATGAAGATATACGACAAATAAGAAAAATAATCATGGCATGAAAATCGAGGAGATGTTTATTTATAGAAATATTATATCAATTTTCCTTTCAAAGAGAGCCAAAGCCCCTGTGGGAACTGGGATCGCATTGGAGAAATCAGCGGAGCACCCGTGCCTTCTTGGAAATAATACCACAAAACTCCACACCCACTGCGTTAAAGATTTCTCTCTCTCGCACCCTTTATCCATGCAGCAAATATTTTTTTGGTAAATGCCATGCAGCAAATATTACAACCCCGGCCTGAGGCCTCCATTAAAGCAGAGCTTTAATTCCATGTCACCTAAGGAAAAGCAAGACTTTTGTTTCCTAAAGCTAAAAGGGTCCAACCCCTCGTTCCCATACTCTTTTTCCTCCCATCCCATCCGGTCTTGCTTTTTTTTTTTCTCCTTAATTATATGTTAGTTTTACATAAAACGTAATATTCACTTCTTTTTTTCATACACATTTATTTTTTAGTCATTGATTTAAATGAATCAAACAAAAACTATCAATAAGACTAAAAACACAGTGTGTAGGTGGCTAAAAAGATCGTCTAATAACCTTTAAATAAGTGGAGTAAAAAAAACTTTCTTTGTATCCTTCTAATTTTATAATGTTGCATGGCAATATGAACTGGAGTTTTATATGTCCTTTTAAAATATCAGTTTTGATAAAAATGAACCAAAGTCAGAAACTAGTCATATGACGATCATCTAATGAATAGAAAAATTATTTTTTTCAATTAAATCACTGAAATAATAACAACGTTAGCCAAAAAGTCACAGAATTTATCATTTTTTGTTATTTTAAAGAGTAAATCTTTAAATGGTATCTTAAAAAATAGACGATTACGAAATGAGAAGAATTAGAAAGATATAATTTAAGAAAGCATTTCGTAATTACAGTTAGATTGTTAACTCTTCCGCAACTCGACTGAGTTCTTAAATTAACCTTGTCCTCGAATTTGACCGAGTATCCTCCATTAATCTATTATGTGTATGCTGCTTGCATTGCATGCAGAAACAAGGAAATGAATGGTTATTCATTCCATGAATTGGGGACCCTTATAAATTGCGAACCCTTCTTCCTCATGTAAACAAGTCAATTAAGTATAGCAGAGAGAGAGAGAGAGACAGAGAGAGAGAGAGATGGGATTTGGGCTTTTCATTTGTCCATCGAAAAGGTAAAATAAATAATTAAACCCTGCACCGGCAGGTGGTGCTGTGCGTATGCGTGTCTGTGAGACTGACTCTTACATATCTCCTCCAAATAGAATCATCGCATAAGCAAACAGGTCCTAGGAATGCTCATTCTCGTCTCTTTTACTTTTCTCGGGAGGGGAGAGGGGGGAGGGGTTTTCATCACTCATTCATTCATCTCTCTCCTCTCTAAATTATTTGCTCCATTTATTATATAGAATAATTCACATCGAACTCCAAAACCCTAGCCATTAAATAAATAAAATCTCTGTGTTTGGGATTCATACTTTTTTGACCTTTGACCATGCCATTACCACGCACCATCTCTTCGTTCCACATCCGTCTCCCTCAATCTTCTTTCGGAAAGGTTAAAACAGACAATCTCTTAGAAATGGGACTTTATCCGAACCTTTTTTACTTTATATTTTTATCATAATATTTTATAATATTGACGTAACAATTGATGTTAAATTGTGAAATAACAGAAAGTTTGTAAAAAGTCTTTTTAATCTTTCATCTTCTTTTGAATAATAAATATAATAAAACAAAGTAAGAAAAATTAAAAATTAAATTCTTTCAGCTTTCTTTGGATGTATTTCTTGAAGTTGAAGTTAGAATTTGGAAGCAACAACTAAAATAGATTTAAGTGTTGGTTGTCACTGATTGGTACTTCGGGCCCCGAGTTGATCGTCTTCCTTTCTTACCATGCGTAATTATATATGTGCCAATCAATTATTAATAACACTGGCTCCCTCTGCATTTATTAACTAGAAGGACATGCATGTATGCATGAACTCAAATTTATAAATCAATTTACTGCATTATATATAGCATGGATGGGATCATGGGGTCATGCGTTTGCGTGCGACTGAAGGTGGCTGTCTTCCACCTGTACCACTACCAACTCCTCCCCCTTCCTTCATTCCTGACCTGAGCATGTGTGTGTTATTAATATTAGGAGGACTAAAATTTTAAATTAAATTTATGAAATAAAAATGTGTTATTAATAGAAATTAAACACATTAATTGAAATTTAATTAATAATTTAATCATTAATACATATTATTTGGTTTCTCTCTCTCTCTCTCTCTCTCTCTCTCTCTCTCTCTCTCTCTCTCTCTCTCTCTCTCTATATATATATATATATATATATATATATATATATATATATATGAGATTCCAGCTTGTTGATTTGGGTAGGCAGAAACCTTTAAGGGAAGGGATTCTTATTTTTTTTTATAAAAATGGGGATTAGTTGTAAGGTCCACATCACATCGAATTTTAACGATCCGAACTATCTATTTTTCAAGTTGCACCTCATATATCATCCTTACAAAATATTAACTAAATCAGAAATGTTTAAGACATCTAATGAGTTCAAAGAAATTAACGAATATGTTTTTATATAAAAAACAATGAAATTTGTTCTTAATAATTAAATAGGCAAATAGTTTCGGATTGAATTGAATTTTTGCAAGGATGATCTATGAATCAATACTTACAAAATAGACGGTTCGGATCGTTAAAGTTCGATGTGGAGGCTAAATGTATCCATCTTTGTGTTTCCCTAGCCCTAGCTATGATTTTATTCAATTCTATACATATATCTGTATAGTAATTCATATTCATTAAAAATTATTGCGGTTCTTCTACTACAAATTAAGTTCGCATGATGTTCTTCAAAAGTGTTTAGTTTAGCGTGTTTAATTATGGTTAAGTGTAATGTTATCTTGAGATTAGATTCTGGTTCACCCTCACATCAGCAAACTTGGCCCTTTTATAGCTTTAATTGATCATCTACTTGCCACTAGCTACCCGGGTGGAAGATTTGTATCTTTAATTTGGGCAGGCCTAGCAACTGCAATTTGCAAACTTGCAAGGGGGCCAAGATTTGTCAAGCATGGCCCATGGGGACTCGCTTTTTTCACCCGGCAACTATACCTTCACTTCACTTGGTTTCCAATTCCATGGTGCAAGAGTATAAGATCGACAAAACGTGTTTTCCATGGCAAAATTCATTCATAGTATAAAAGCAAATGACAATCATGTGATTATTGTAGCGTATGTAAATGTGATTTAAATTTAATGTCACAATACCACCACTCGATTAACTATTCAAGGAAATTAACATGCATACCAACAATATTATACACACAATACTGAAATAACAAATAGCACTCAAAAGTCATAAATAAAGAATTCCGTACAATTTCAAGATGCTATCGTAGCGATATTATTTTTAAAATGGAATGTCCTTTCATTAAATTTCAAGCAGATCGAAAAAGGATTTCACACATTTGCATGCTTATTTGAAGAGGCGTCTGCAACTTTGGATATCTTAGAATGTCTGCCGACCTTCTGTTCGACTCCCAACCACCTTTGGATATGTTGAAAAACTGTTTTGTCCCGCAATAATTCCCGGTGCCTTGCAGCTATGGCTACTCTTTCCACTGCAGCAAATCCATCTGCCTGTTCAATAGTAATTAAGATAGAAAGTTCGATCAAATTCGCTCAAATTCAGAAACCACAATAATACTTGGCAAATAAAACCCAGCAGGAACTATTGAATAGAGCATATATATTAACACTAGGAACATATGAAAGGTCGGATAGCGCACCTTTGCTGACTCAGCCGGAACCGTTTCATCTCCATCCACATAAGAATACTGAGGCTGGAAAGAAAGAGATCGTGTAAATCACAGAGAGGACATAGGGCATAAAAGCATTAACATCCCAGGGGTGCATAATCTGTGTCAAAACTGGAAGCTACTATTAAAGACTACTTCAGCGATCAGAGATCAAAGGACATATGATCTAGGCTGTTTAAAAGTTAAAACTATGAACCGATGGGATACCTACACACATGACTTGGAGAAAATTCAGGGATTCACAAACAGTAAATAACTCACAATTGAATGGCATATTTCAGACAGGTCCTGTATTGGAGATGTCTCCGAACCGTAACTGCATTAGTAATATATATGTCAGATCACTACCAAATTAACAGTTACATAACTTGATAGGGAAATGATACAGCTTATGAAATAAACAGAATGATACGCCTACTGGATTGTATATTCATCAAACCATTTTGTTTTACAATGTCAAACCCTGAGAACTTCCATTTAAATTTGTTCTGCTAGTCAATTTCTATTAGTTCTTTATTTTATTTTGCAAAATTAGTTCGCATGTGTACTAAAATAATAAACATCTCTGTCTCAACTGAGCAACCAGTCATACCAAGGATTGCAAACCCTGTTCACATGTTTCCTGTTTTGATTTAAGTATCGGTCCAGCTGCTACTTATTTTGAATTTAAATTCCTTACGTATTCCTATTTCATAAAGTAGTTCTCTTACATACCAAACATCAAAAGGGGTGTCGAACGATGTGCCATAAATGTTATAGAAGCTGACGCTATCTGGTAGTTTAGCACTGTTCAAAACTTGGTGAGTCTCAGCAGCCCATCTGAGAATAGAATGGTTAAATGGCAAAGCTACCGTTTTGCCATCATAATTTAGCTGCAATGAAAGAGATTGACATAAGCTCAAGCTATTGATTAAGAGAGAAAGAAGTAATGGCGAGACATTCAGATATGTGCAGGGAGACAAGACTCGGACAACTATTGCAACCCGAAACAACTATTGTCCACTGGCATTGACAACATGATTAATGTGTTACTAGATAAAGTTGTCTATAGTGCTAGGCTGCTAGCATAGTGTATCCATCTTGAGCTCTGATAAGTATTGGATTTAATCATATTAGATGTATAATTGTTTTCCTAAATACAGTACAACACCACACCAGAAAGCAAGATTTGCCCCAATGATTTAGGCACTTGACATAATACATAACAAAACAAGCCAAAATAACACAGAAATTTTGAAGACTTTTCCCAAGTTTTGTAGAAAGAAAAATCAGAAAAGTGGTACCTCATTATGTTTCAATGCTTCTTCAAACAAAGGAATGCTTTCAATTGGGCCATAAGACTCCAAATCAACCAAAGTTTCCCCATCTGTGGAATTGTTCCTCCAAACCTGAATTTCTGGGCGCCTTTTCCATTTAAATTTTGGATTTGCCAACATCTCATAGATTGATGGACACTCAACCAACTATATGTGAAAACAAACTTATTCAGGGTTAGTTCTTCCTAATAGCAACAGCTTATCGAATAAAAAAGGGTAAGAACTGAAAAATGTAGCCAAATACTTGTTATGGATGAAATGCTATAAAGAACAATAATATCTTTATTATTTTGATTGGCTGGACGGATATGCTCAACTTCCTAAAAAAGGAAAATAAGTATGCAAGTCAATTACATATTACAAGAACGACATTGAGCAATTCTTTATGGTGTTCAACCGTTTAATTCAATGTATTACCAGCTGGTGCATAGTCCACCTTGATACAAAAAAGTAACTTTCCAAGCCTTCAACAAACTGTAATCCAGTTAAGAGAGAATCATTGATGCATCCTGGTGCACCTGTAATTTGAATTGTATAATCAACAATCAGGGATGAAAGCATAAATATCACGATTTTTCAAATGCTTTGACTCCCAGTCTAAGAAGACTAAATATTGGGATGTTGAGCAAAAGAGGCCGAAGGGGAATGCATAGTATGGTTTTCTAGCTACCTGAGAAGATTCAATGAACAGATTTCACTAAGTACCGCTGACATATGTCCAAATACGAAGACAATTGGCATAAAGGAAACTACCTTGAAAAGGGCAAGCTATGCAGATCCATTTACTCACGTACTTCGAAAATACCTGCCGATGAATGATTTGCCTCTAGTGAGAAGAGGAGTTTATATTTTCTGCATATATTCAATGAAAATTCATAAACTTCAACTAGTCACCAAGAGACAGTATGCGCACATCATTATGGAGTGACATAAAACATGTGACTAGCAGTCCACCCATTGAATGCGAAATTATATTCACTTTTCTACCCCCAGAAGCCTTGTAAGCAGTTTCCAGTTTCACCTTAAGACCTTCCATTAACTTGTCAATTCTGCCAACATAATAACCACGGTGGTCAGATTATTGGAAACAAGGAACCCAATTGTCAGACATTGTTGTGATAGTTCAAACACCAGAAATGGTTGCTTGCATACAATTACTCTATAAAATTTAGCCACCAAAAAGAAGTAACCAGCTGAAAAGGAGTTACCTATTGCTTTGTCGAAAATCATATCCGTATCCAAACAAAGTGGCTCCCTTCTTATATCCACATCCGACAAGCATATCAATCATATCATGGAACTGGTATACCTCTTTCAAACGTATCAATTTGACAAACTGGAAACATGAAGAAATATAATATAAGCCCATAATTCAGTGATGTCATAACCAAACTATGAGAATCCATGGAGACAAGTATAATTCTAACCCAGGAAGGATCTAGAATATCAATTGCATACAGGCCGTAATCGTCATCTGGGACCACAATTTCAGTGTCTTTGTCTAGCGTTTCAGTATAACCTGGAAAGGCAAATGAGTCTAGTAAGAGGCTGATTCTACACAGAACTAGAACATCGAATAACAGATGCAAAATTGGAGATGAATTTGTGATTTCCCTAGACTAACATGTTGTAGGCGTCTTACACGATTCAAATGGTAGGAAACCAACCTGGTGGCCGTTGGATTTGATGCTTCATTCATGTTTATGGGTAGATCATACAAACTAATCTTGAAGGGAAATGATAGCTCTTGAAATAAAATTTTGACTTGGTTATAAATTTTGAATGAAATCGTAACGTGATAGATGAAAGTTGAAACATGTTTGCATATATCGAATTGATTCGAAAACATGTGAAGATATCTTAGCAATGAAATGGTAAATCTTAACACTGACTAAAAGTATCATGTTATGCATGGTCTCTTCCCAATCCCAGTAGAATCCAGCAAGCAAACAGTGACAGATGAGACGATTGAAAAAATTCCACACTTGTCTTTGTCTTGTCTTTCTTTCCTGCATACATTTTGGTTTGGTTTCCCAATTGCCACCGACCCAAAACAAGGTTCTCAATTTCGAAAGAAAACAATAAAAAGACCAACACTTAGACTTGTCTGTCGGAGTCTCTCGCTTGTATAATCTTGCTCCAGAGCTAATTGCAATTGTGTGTGTTTGTGGATGGATGGATATATATACATACAATATTAATATCACGCAAGTATAAACAGGAGGGAGGAAGAGTGTATAGAAAGAGAGAGAAAGCAACCTGTTTGGGGATTGTAGATAGACCATAGCTTCTTCTTGAACTCCAAGTCAGCCAATAAGATCCGGACCCAGACCCGGGTGTCGAACCCCAACTTCCTCCTCTTGGAGTGCAGAATGGAGCCTCCTATGCCAGAAACCAGCAGCACCGGCTCCACCTCCGTGTCGGAGGAGGTGCGGTTCTCGTGTTCGAAGTCGAAACAGGGGCAGAAGCAGCGGCCTGTCATGGATATTGCTATGCCGTTGTTCTCTTCTCTTCTCGTCTCCACTGGTCTCTCCCACAACTACTACGTATGCAGAGTGAGTCAAAGTGACAAGTGAGAAAACGGCATCACATCCACATGTATGTATAATGTTTTTGTTTTTGTTTTTGTGTCGTCTCACACCATCTAATAAAAATTGAATTTATAAATAAAAATTTGTAAATTAAATGATAAATTATCAATAAAAAAATGAACACGTCTATTAACGTTTAAGAAATAATCTAATTGTCAATTTTTATATAATTTAAAATTATTGTTATTATTTATTTTTTTTGTCAAACGATAAATTAGATGTTATTATTATTTGTGTTTGGCTTGTTAATCACCTTGTGCGCATAATTTTTTATTTTTATGTTTTTAATATCAAAATTCTAGTGCAGAAACGAGGAATGGCTCTGTTATTGGGAATGAGCAAAAAAATTTCCTCAAAAGTGAATATTGAAGGATTTCCTTCTTATTGCATTTAATTTTAAAGAAAATTAATTAAAAGAGTTTGAAAACTTTGATTTTTAACAAAATAAAGGGTAAAGTGAATAGAACCAAGATTGATTTTGAGTGTAAAAATATGATTTTTCGTTAAAGTGAACAATGCCGAGAGTTTTTTGTTAAAGTTCTCTTTATTCTATGCTTTTATTAGGGGAAGTCGCTCATATTTTAACACTTTTCTTTTCCGTACAAGCCACTTTGAATTATCTCATGGATATTAATTTTAAAGCAACTGCTTGGAGGTTATGTTTTTAGATACTTTATTTTTACCCAACTCTTTTTTATTACTTAATTTTAAAGTGAAATAGTTTTTAAACTCATCTGTCCCCGCTCCCTCTCACCAACTGCCCTGGCTCTCCCTCTAATTAGTTTACTTTGTTGTTGTACCAAACCGTCCAAGCCAGTGCCACCGGCAATTCAATAGTTATCCATCGACGGATGAGTTTGGATAATGCGAGTGGTCCAACATACTTCACGGCATCTAAGAAGCATATCCCAAACGAAAATCTCTTACTCACATTCTAGATTCTACCACTGTAAACCGTTAACTCCAAGCACCAACACGGAAACACAAACCAGATGGATCCATAACCAAAACATCTAAACAAATCACTTAGGTCACACACACACATTAACCAAAAATATCTCGGCATTTTAACATCTAATACCAACAACGTTATCATCATCATCCCGCCATAATAATCTTTTTAAGTTCAAACAAAAATAGATTCATTCCATTGCTGCATTCACTAGAATTTGCCCACCAGCTACTCCAAAATCCTTGTTCAAGGGTCCTGAACGTTCAGACCTACAAATCAAAAGTACAAAAGAAATAATTAGTTTTAACCGTGGGTGAGCTTATAAAACAAAATAACAGATGGAAGTCCCCTGACTCAACACAAACTACTCTTCTCCAGGATGACATAGAATCCACCGTGCTCCACAACCGAAAAATAGAACAACAATGGCAACAACATAATAAACAAGAGGGATTCATGCACATTAATTCACAATAAGAATAGACTAGTACGAGTTGCCCACTGTAATAAATTACACCAGTGATCACGAAAATTTATACCTGGAGGAAGAGATTGCTTCAACTTGTCGGCCTTCTTGGAATCAAACACACAAAGTGTGTAAAGGTACTTGGAGCACCGAACCTTGAACTTGACAGCATCCTTGGTCCTCTTGATTTTGACATTGCGGGCATCCTTCCTTCTTGCAATTAGAAGGAAATCCTTGATCTCATGGATCTGCTTCGGCTGTTGGTGCACACACATAGTATAAACATCACAGATCATTATACATTCTAAAGTTTACATCTAAGCAAGGCATGTATGTTCACATGTTTCAACATCTATTATCCATTACTTGAACAGATTTATAACAGAACCAGATTCTTAGCGAGTAAATTACTTTTTAACATGATTATACAATCTATACTGGTAGAAGGATACAAGAACAATAATGGGTGAAACACCAACAAAGAGGATTACAAAACACCGTCAGACGTTTCATATGAAAAGACCACATGTGTTTCATTTCAACCAACCTATGCAAAATTTACCACGAGATCGATACTAAAATGAAAGTCGCACTATTCTGTGACCTTGAAATAGTACCCTCTGGTTCAAATTTTAGAATAAAAATAGTAACGGAATTTTAAAGCTACAGAAAACCAGAAGCATTGGGGAATATATAAGGCCGGGAGCATCAAAATCATGAAAGCAGTCAGAGTTCCTTTTCCAGAATCATAAGGATGAGAACCACTGTTTTTACGATGAGCTCCAAAACACGAAATAAACAAGAAAAGCGAAGGAACAAACAAAAAATGAAACTAAATTCCAAAAACATTTGAAAATGGCTAATTTCCCGTTATTTTTAATTTGAATCGTATGTTCTCTTCTCACCACTCATATCGATCATGTCGTGAATAAATCAAACATTGAAATATACTCACTTAGAAGTGGTCAATTCTACATACTCAGATCAAATCAAACAAAGGATGATGCTGATGATGAAGATGATGCATAATCTATCTAACAGTCTATCTATCCATCCACCTAAATTGAGTATAAAGAAGAGATGAACACAATTCTTCCTTTGATAATTATATGATACTAGATACGCAAGACAGTAGATTTGGTATCAAATTCATAAAGCTCATCTTACAAATGAAAATGCAAATTCAGACAGCAAAACCACCAAGTTCTAAGTGAGAAGGAAAATGCGCGCAGCAGTAAGAGTGGAAACGCACGTACCATTTTGTTCGTTGCTTGGTCGAGACCGGAGGCTGCGAGTTCTCTCTCAAACTCCGGGGAGGCTATGTACCAGAAGAAACCCTAATTTAATTTTATAACTCTTCTTACATTTTTGTTGCAGGTTTTGTCCTTGGGGCTTTGTTGCGTTGTGATGTCCAAAAAGGTTGATGGGTATATGGCTCTCAATCAATTATAAGCCCATTTTGCAATTTTGTAACTTATGTTGGGCTCAATCAAAGATTTCATCAGATCAGCTTGCAGAAGTCTAGCATTTTCTTTGGTGTAAATATGCCTTGCGATTTGGGTTCGGAGTTGGCAGGTATTCTGGGTATGCAGCAAGTTAATCACCCGGGCCTATACCTTGGAATCCATTCAAATTGGGGTAGGTTTAAACGCCATGCACTTTCATATGTCAAGGGTCGGGTTCTAGAGAAGCTTCAAGGACGGAAGCAGAACCTTCTCTCCCCGACTGGAAAAGAAGTTCTGATCAAAGCAGTGGCCCAGCCCATTCCAACTTACCCGATGAATATTTTCAAGTTCCCGGTCTCCATTTGTAATGACCTCGACTTCATGTTTGCCCATTTCTCGTGGGGTCAGAAGGATGTAGAACGCAAGATACATTGCGTTGCGTGGGAAAAGTTGGGCTACCCGAAGAGTGAGGGGGTTTGGGGTTTCAGTCTTTCAAAGATTTTAACTTGACGCTCCTAGCTAAACAATGCTAGAGGATAATTTGTGAGCATGATGCCCTATGGGTGCGATTTTTGAAAGCTGGATATTTCCCCCATACTTCTTTCTTTAAAGCAAAGCGGGGTCACCGTGCTTCCTGGGCTTGGGCGAGCCTTCTTGGGGGTCGAAAAATCATTATGGGAGGAGCTCATTGGCAAGTCATGAATGGAAAGATCATTTCAGGAGATGGATGCTGATACTTGGTCGTGAGACCTCCATCTTTTTTGGTTCATGTTCTCAACTACAACGGTTTACCTTGCACTTCTTCTAGTTAGTCCTCCTTGGATTGTTGAGGGGTGACGCCTTGCACTCATTGCAGCGTCTAGTTTTCTTGATCCCCTCAATGATCTAGTTGTTGTCTGTATTATGTTATGTTTTCTGTTAGCCAAGTGCTTTTCAGCTTTTCTTGTACTCAATTGGCTTTAGCCCTCGCAATAACAGTTTCACAAAAAAAAAAAAAAAAAAAGGAGTAATTAGGTTTTCATCCTTATTTTTACTACTCTATTGATTAAAACCTTATTACTTTTCAATTTTTGATCAAGGTCCTTTGTATTAATAATATCATTAATTATTTCAATAATAAAATATTTTTTATTTCTAAATATATTCATTTAATATAAAAATGTTACAATTAGTATATTTAATATTTATGGCTAAATTTTTTTATCATATATTTTATTTTTAGTTTGTACCCATTTTTAATTGCAACCCTTTTTAATTTGTACCAATTTTCCTTTCAATTTTAATTTGTAACCCATATATTAATTTCTTTTTGTGCCCATATTTTTTAAAGTTTTATTTGTATGTACCCATATTTTTTTATTTATTTGTACCCATTTTTATTTTTGCTAAATGTACCCATTTTGAAGAATGTACCCATGTTTGATACAATAATTTTTTGGTTATTTTTTATGAATGTACCCATGTTTACACACACACACACAATAGTATATTTATATTTTAATATTTATAATCCCACAAATTATGTTTTTTATTTAAAATCTCATTACTATAAACAACTATAAATTTTAATTTTTAATTTAAAAAATATAGTAACGTACATAGAAATAAATTATCAATTAATTTTAGGGACTTGGATCAAAAATTGAAAACCAACAAAGTTTCAGTCAAAGATTATTCATAACTAGGGACCGCATCCAAAGTCTCCCAAAAAAAAAACTTTGTAGTACACCAACAATTGAACTAGCTCTATTGAGCTCAAACGTTTTTAGCCTTCTTGTGAATTTGATTAAAATCAAACTCAAAATTTTCAACTCACAGTAAAAAGGCTTAATATAGGAGTCTCAAATAGTGGACTGCAACTATTAAACTCACAACGATACAACAATAGTGTTATAGGAATCACACTCATAATTCGTGTATGTATATGAGAATCAAATTCGAATAAACTGATGGAATGCTAAATTCTATAAGAATTCATTTAGTTTACAAGAATTCTCACTTTCTTCCTTGCAATTTATTATATAGCACTTTCGTCTTTGTAGTTTCATTCCGTAAACATCGTTGGTCCAGTCTTTCCGATATGAATTTTCAAAGAGAAAGAGGAAGAGGTGCACAAAAATGGATGGAAAACCAACTTATTAGACGGATTTGGACTAAAGCGTAATCAAAACGAAACTCCGAGGATGAAAATGTAAACAAACGAAGTCAAGACTCGTTATTGCAATTTGGTCCCGAACAGTGCGAACACCACCACACGTCACCCACAGCGTACAAGCTAGGCGGGTTTTCTTTGTCATCCATACAATTGGACTAGCACTGGAGTCGTAAAACTGTGTTGGTTTTGTGCAGAGCCTGAACTTGTTGTATCAGCAGCACAGCAGCTATGGAGCGTCATCTTCGACCTGTGTGCAGCTCAACGGCCATCTTATGCCCCTCGAAGTCTCTAATTACTAAACTGCCACTGTTACTGCAAAAGCCCACTTCCTCTCCTTGCCGTTTCTCCTCCTACACTTACCCTTCCTCTACACAGCTTTCTACCTCTCATCCGCTTCGTCCTGCAGGTTTCAGTTCACGCACTGCTTTTCTTGATTTCCCTCTGCCTCTGCGTTGTTTCCAATTGTTGAGCTTTATGTTGCAATTTTGTTTATGGGATAATATATTGGGTTTGTTCTATTTTTCCGTTTTTGTGAGTGTGTGGTTGCAAATTTGCAATTGGTTTTATATATCTCATTAACTTTTTTATGGGCTTCCACTTTCCAGTTGTTTTTGCATGTGAAATTTTCTGTTTTGGGTTTCTAGTTTCTACTTGCTTTGATTTCTTATGCTTAATATTTGAAAAATTCGATTTGACGGTCGTACTGTGGTGCATTTCACAGGACGTTACCGAAAGCAAAACACTTTAGATGCTCGAGTTTTCTATTTTTTGATATTTATTTTGTTTATATGCTGTGTAGAGAATGAATTCCGAATTGCTTACTGTTGATTTTTGATGTGACTCAGTTTTAGTGGCGAAGCCGGAGAGCCAAGCAAGCGGCGGGGTCAACACCGACGCAAGAGAATGGGCAATGCAAGGTCTGTTTTGACTGCTTTTCAAGTTTGATTTGAATGAGAGCATGCTTGGTGTACGGATGGTGCTGCTTTCATTTGCACTTCAATCACTGACAATGTTGTAGTTCATCTTATGTCTCACAGATTTTTATTTCTTAAGAAAGGATGTAGAAACTGCCGCAATACGCGTTAAGGAGATAAGAAACTCTGCTTGTCTGCACAAGTTAGAGCAAGAAGTTGCTGATTTGGAGTTGAAAGCAGCTGATACCGCCTTTTGGGATGATCGAGCTCAGGCTCAAGAAAACCTTTCGGCCCTGACTGATGTCAAAGACAGGATAAAATTGCTGAATGAGTTCAAATCACAGGTCTATGCCCAAATTTCTTTAATTCTGTTTAGAATATTGTTTTCGCATCGTTTCTATGGGGTGACATGGCATCGTTGTCGTTTTTCTGGATAATTGGTTGTGCTTGAAGTGTGATATGATGATATGAAGTGGGCAGTTTTAATATGAGTACAAAATCATACTGTCTAGTAGGAGATCTTTTACTAATTTACTCTGCATGCCTATACTCATTTACAAATATTGAATATCAGAAAGTGAGCTCCTCTTAAATTGCATTGTGGATCAAATTCATTCAATGCAGGTTGAAGATGTAGAAACAATAGTCAAGCTAACTGAAGAGATGGACTCCATAGACCATGGACTTCTTGAAGAGGCTGCCAGTATCATCAAAGAATTGAACAAGGGAATGGATAGGTTTGAGTTAACTCAACTTCTTTCGGGGCCTTATGACAAGGAAGGTGCTGTCATCTTTATTACAGCTGGTGCTGGAGGTACTGATGCACAGGTAATTAGAACATATGCGCAAAGGAAGAGCAACTAGTCCTTTATGGTTCTTAAAAAGTCAATGGAAATTTTAGATTCTGTGAGATGCATATGTAGGTGCTGTAACGCCATTACAGTAAAACATATTGCATTTCTCATGAATGAATTTCTTTTAGAAATTAAGACACATCTATCTCATTCATACCTTGCCAAAAGTAATTTATCTTACTACTTTTGAGAATACTGTATGGGGATGGTAAAGCTTTTGTTTCAGCAATTACTGAATTTATCATCAGCATCCCCTATTCATTGTTTGTGTGGACTTCTGCTTGATTCCATGGTTATGTGTTATTTAAGAGTGTTCAGGTTAGTTCACAAATCACATGTTTATGTTTTTCTTGTATAAAACCTTTGATAATTCTCAGTGCAGGACTGGGCTGAAATGTTACTCAGGATGTATGTGAGGTGGGCAGAAAAGCAGAGATACAAGACACGAGTAGTTGAGAAATCACAGGGAGAGGAAGCTGGAATTAAGTCAGCGACAATTGAAGTTGAAGGTCGTTATGCTTATGGGTATTTGTCGGGGGAGAAAGGAACACACCGCATTGTAAGGCAGTCCCCTTTTAATGCCAAAGGTCTTCGCCAGGTATCTATAAACCTTCTGGTAACTATGAATTATTAAACATTTAATTACAGAAACTGATTATGAGGGAACAGGGTTTTCCATATGCGGAGAGTTGACATACATCTTGTTGAGTTGAACAGCCTTAGGTACATAACTAGTTTGCTAAAAATTACTACTGAAAGTGGGCGTTGCATGCATTTGGAAGGAGGGGGGAGGAAAAGAGAGTGGGCGCACATATCCTATATTGTGTGTTATAACTTGAAGCTGTGTGCAGACAAGTTTCTCTGGCGTTGATGTCATGCCTCTTCTACCTGAGGAGTCTTTGAAAGTTGAATTACCTGAAGAGGACCTGGACATAAGTTTTTCAAGGGCAGGCGGAAAAGGAGGCCAGAATGTGAACAAAATTGAAAGTGCTGTCCGGATTACTCACATCCCGACTGGTGTTACTGTTCGCTGCACAGGTTTCCT